CCTTCCCAACATCAACAGTCTGCATGGGGAGCTTGTGTTATGCCCATAGCTCTGGAGCAAAAGGTAGAGAAGAGAGCGGGTGGGGGGTAGCCTGATCTTGAGAGCTGGGCCTTCGGTACAAAGAGGCCTCCATCTCCTACAGCTTCCAGACCGAGGGTTTACATCCATGAGGCCGCAGGAGGGGAGGCATCCCGCTGACATCTCCTACCGTTACGGTGTCAAACGTCACCCCAAGCCCAAGGTTCAATGGGGGGTCAGAAATTCCTTGCTAGGAAAAACGTGATTAAATGTTTATGTACATATGTATCTTGACCAAGGGAAGCAGCCTTCTGTGTTATGCACAAAAATTTCATTCTTGTTCCAAAAAATAAAGATAATGCTAGCTTGCCCCCCCCCCCCACAATAACAACGAATGCTTGGAAACAGCCGTCTGAAGAGGCAGCCATTCCTGCCACTTGCTATTCTTAGTTGAAGGGTCATGCAGGTTGAATTCTATTGGTGATGACAGAAGTTCTCTGGCTTCAATCATCTAACTGGTTTCACATTTTCGAGATGCTGCAAGCCCCCCAAGCTGCCCCCTCCCCAGCACCCAGCATTCTCCTTTATCACAATAACAGTCTTGCCCCTTTCCTGTAGCCTGGATGTCAGACCTTACGAATAAAGCGCACTTCAAAACCCAGGCCTTTGAACATCTGTAGCTGGAGGTCTCACAGTATCAGGAACAGGAAACATTAAGGAAGCTGTATTCACCCCCCCCCATCCACCCCTACACCCAACCACACCCAACAGAACACAACAGAAGAAGCCAGCTTCCTTACACAAAGTAAGGAGGGTGAATCTTTGCAAAGTTCTCTTGGAATTTGTGTTGGATTTCTTGAAAGTCATGGGTTATGTGCATTGCACATGTTTTTTAAATGCCTTAAGACTGACCATTATCGGAAACAGCCACCAAGGCTGCTGCCACATTCATTTTAAAAATGAAGAATCCAAGTTACGTCTCCAAATTCTCACATTAGTCCCTGTTTTCATCTGATGGATTCAAGCTGCAGACAGGAATCCTGGATTCTTAGCAGTGTTAGAAAGTCAGATACTCCAGCGGATGATTAGACACCTATTGTTTACTCAGATACACCTAGGAAAGGCAAGCATATCTTAAAATAGACCAGCGTGTCTGCAAAGGTATAAGGATGGACAGAGAGGAGAAGAGCTGGTGACATGTCTACGGCACCGTTACCGTGGAAGACGGCCGGCCTGTGACTCATGTTTTCGCATGCGGCCCATCTGCCGACGCCTGCTGTCAGAGACTTCTCCTAAGCTATTTTAATCTGGAGTATGGAGGACCTTCATCCTCTTCGCTCACATGCTTAATCTTAATATATCTGCCATAAACGGGGAAGGTAGCACAGTCTAATTCCAGCTAGAATGGCAAAGGGCCGCCTTCCTCCTTAGGAATCGCCCCCCAGAGAAACCAACAGAGCCATGCCTGTCTCAATATCCAAAAGGAGGGTGAAATCGCATGGGTTTACTGAACGGAGATGTAGTCTCCAGCATAAAGAACCTTATAATTTAATACGGCAGTTTTTATAACCATCTTACCTGGATGGAGCGCTAGCACAAAAGTAACTTTTTTTTCATACTATGTAACACAAAGAAACATTCAGAGATGCGATTTTAACGTAAAACGTATTAAAGCATCACCATGATGTAATACTATTACATCATTCAAGATTCCTTTATTTGTTTTGTAGATAGTTATACAAATACAACATGTAGTGGAATGTACACCAGGTCACTCTGAAGACTGTGCATAAATATATTGAAAATATAGAAGGTGTAGAAGGTATACAGTGTGCATATGTTTAAGTAGTAGTATACCTTGTACCTAATACATGTCAAAGGAACAGAATTATGCACCTGTCATCAAAAATAAGATAAAAAGTAGCAGAAGATCTTGTCAGTGTCTACAGACTATTTGTCAGTTGATATCCAAGCTAAAGTAAGCCATTTTACTGTTGTACGCCATGCTAATAGGCCTTACAATCCTTTCACTTTCAATATGAGAGACAAATGGAACCATGGAATCCCTTAAACCATTGTTTCTGAGGACAGGCCTTTGCACCCCGACTTATTGGCCTTGAGTAGCACAGCCCAGTAGCTGTTCAAAGGTGCCGCCCTGTGTGTAAACGCTGCACTGAGAATCGCCATCTTGCCATGTGCTCCATAAAGCTGTTTTTCAAAGCATGAGAAACGAAACAGCTTGAAAGAGTCCGGCTGGTTTCTATGGAGACAACCCCTGCAATAAAAAACACCCAGGAGAGCAGAACCAGCACTAAGCAACAACAGGAGCAAAAGAAAAGTGAGATCATATTTAAAATAATTCCCTAAAAACGCTAACTACCGTAATGATATTCATGAAGCAAATCTGTATCGGAACCATAACTTTTGAAAAAGGCTTCTTTAAAATACAACTTCAAACGTTAGAAAAAAAATAAAACATTTTAACCAACAAACCACGATAAGAATGGAAATACTCTCAAATATTAGAAAAGCAGCGTCCTCAGTAAAAGACACAGAGGGGACATTAAGCTATGATGCCCGTAGGCTGCGACAGGCCACACCCCCCTGCTCATTAACGCATTTCGGTTCATCACGCGCGGGGTCCTGGGAGGGAACTGCGTCTAGCCATACCCAGAACCCACAAGGGGCAAAGGGAGCAGGGTTAGGGAGGAAGGAGTGGCAGGGGAGCAGCAGGGCGGGGACTATACGCCCTGGGTATCTGCAGGGCAGCCCGATTCCTAAAAAGAGACTTTTAATTAAGAGAAATGTGCTGGCACCATTTTCCTCAGCGTCTCGCCTTTCCCTGCTTCACAGTAAAAGCCCAGAGTGTGCTAATTGTTCGGGGTGCCGTTCATGCCTTAGCATTGCAGGAGTGTTAAAAAATAATCCAGTATCTCGTAAAGGAGAAGGAGAATGTCTGCCGGAGAGTAAGGTGAGTGACCGAAGGGGACTTGCTGGCTAACTGAAACGCCAAAACACGGATGAGGGAGAGGGAAGCTTCATGCAAAGTCACTGGCAAATGGGAATTAATGGAAGTACAGTATTCCACACCTCTGCACTCCACTCTGCTATGAATCCTAATTCAGCGTTCTAACTGCTTCAATTAAGCACCCCATCCAATATCAACTAATGCAATCTGTCATATGTACACTGTTATTTTCATGGACAACTGGAAGTTTGTAACTTTTAACTCATTTATTTATTTGACAGACACTTTGTCCAAGACATAAGCTTGGAATCACAGCACAGGGTCAGCAAGAGTCCAGGACCCCCAAACAGGGTAAAGAACCATGGTTATATAAAGCCACAGGATTCGAACCCACGACTTTCCGGACAGATCCCTAATCCACTGAGCCACACACTGCTCGTGCAATGAGCCATAATTTCTGCCAACATACTGGTGGAATGTTGTTCTTCCCTCAACAAAAATTACTCATGAACAGACTGCATCCATCTGAGAGTAATTAAAGCCATACATTTGTATCAATTACCTAAACAAATCTACACTGACCTGACCTTACATCACCCAGTTAACAGGACACCCAAGCATGCCACTTGTTCAAACATCAACGCAAACTCTACTCAGATTATCCAGCTGACCCCGGAAATTGCCTACTGCCCCCCACTCTACATCGACCTCACAACATTACCCACTATCTTTTTCGCAGACTCACATACGCTGTTCAATACTACAGGCAGAGCAAAATGGGGGGAAAAAACACAAACATTCATGCATTAATCAATAATTACGCTGAATAAGCGCATACTGTTACCAAGTAAAAGCAGTCACAATTACTCAAGACTGAAAACGGAGACAGAGGCAGGCAGGCAACCAGGATATAACAGCTGCAGTGCGTGACATTTTGAGGATACAGAGGTCTAGCATCACACAATGGGATTCCTAGAGAAAAAAATCACCATTGAATAACAATGGGAAATGTTTGGGAAATGCTGCATTTTTTTGACCTGCACAAATGCTTATACCGGGTGGGCAAATGGATTCTACATATGGAGAGTTATGAGGACAGCAAGCAGAAATAAAAGCAAGAAAAATGTTTTTAATGATCTAGCCACATCCAATGTGCACATCCTATGGTCTGTACAGCCATGTTGGAAGAGCCCATTTTTATCAACACATCAGAAAATGCCTGCTCTGAATGTCTACACATTCACGGCCACTGGCCGGACATTCAGGACAGATAATGCCCTCGTCTCTCCACTAATTCCTGCCTAAGCAAAATACCCACCCCCGGGGGAAATAAACAGGACTCATGACTCCTATTTGCAGGAAACGTGTTTTTTTAAGTAAGGCATCATCAGCAAGCAGCACATCTTAATACCATCAGCGCGAACAGCATCATGGAAAACCTTAAATCAATAACACACATTATCAGCGCGCGCTGTTAGGCTTCAGCAGATGCATGCCAACAGATGATAATATGCTGTGCTGATAATAACTGGGCCGATAGTAATAAATGAAACACAGATGATGCACGTAAAATCGTGTTTCATATTTTCAAGGTGTAAACAGCCCTGTTTTACTGGCATTAACGCCGTCTCATTGTCATCAGTATAGGCTGCAGTTCGTCCTCCCATGTGCAAATCTGAAGGCATCCCGAAATATTACACAATCTCTATGCTGCAATCGCCGCAGTACTATTATTAAGAGCATATTCAGACACCGACGCACTGGCGAAACGAGGCTATGCCCGATAAAATGGTTACGACGCGTTTTTGCAATAAACTACGCAGACCCGATGTATGTTTTTATGGATTTTTAGCGATGCAATCTAAGCCATTTAGACCCAAAGGGCGTGCATGTGGAGTGACGCCAGTCTCTCCCCGAAGGTAAGGCGAGCCGAAGAAATGAATAAAAAGCCTCATCTGTGCATGCAGGTCAGATGAACATGACAGCAGTCCGTCATGGCTCCTTGTGCACTTACTCCATGGTATCAGCACTCTCCCCTCGTTTTCAACCTTGTCTTCTTGTCTTCTCCTTCTGGACACAGACGCGTTTCGATCAGCTCTCAGCCCGCAGCGCACTGGAGGAAAGCGATCAATCGCAGCCCCTCTTCCTCTGTCTCGGCGGTGGTCCTCCTACCGTCTCCTCCCGTTATTCGTGGGCAGCGCCGCTCGCCCGGGCTGATCGGACAGCCTGACCGGTGGGAAAGGGTGGAGTGCAAGTGTACGACGGCAAGCCAAGCTGCCCCCAATATCCCCTCCTCTTTAAAATACCTTTTATTTGCGACTAGTCAGTGATAGTGAATGGTTGATTGCGGTATGTTTTGCGCCCTCCCGCGCCCATGTGCGATTTGACAGGCAGATACACCCCCTACTGGTGAAGTATAGGACTTGACTGGGAAAAGCTAATGTGTTGCTAGAAGGCAAAGGGAGGGGCACTTGGTACCCAGAGAGGGAATGGTATTAATGATTTATCATGGCGCCTTTGGTTTTTTTTTGTATTGAACTGTCTACGAATGACACCATGCCTCTCGAAATTCCTTTTACGGTATATTTGCAATTTTACGTCGTATTATTCTGGTGCTTTTTACGCTGCCTCGCTTTGTTTTTGTCAGTTGAAAGAAGCCATGAATCGGATACCTGTTGTATCCGAAATATAAACGTGTTAAAAATGCAAGATTTCTAAAAAAAATAGAAGCATATGCACAGCCGATATGAAGAGCGTGCATCATACAAGTTTACCCTTTGGTTGTCCCATTGAAATTTCAAATTGAAATATTACGAGTGATTTAATTGTTCAAACTGTCAAATTTGAGATTTCTAAACGTGCGGTTAGTTTTTGCTGATATCGACTGAGTAATACGGGGATGATCAGAAGGTAGCAGTGATTGTCCATTTCGTCAGCCTGCTCTTACCTAGGCTACATGCCCCGCAAAGCCTTATGGGTAAACACATGGTATGCAGGTGAAGTGCTAACTCTAAATTTTGCCTAATGTGCTACTGTGTACTTTGCATTATTGTTGTTTTCCTTGAACTCTAACATGCTCACCAGTCCATATAAAGCAGGAGTACTCCTATATCACCAAGCTCCCGGCTGTGCTTAATGCCAATATTAGCCTTCTGAGTCCTGGGCTTTTGTTTGGTGTGCATGTTTTATTTCCTTTAGCTGTTTGGGATTAGTAGGACCTCATAATCATAAAAACCAAACATAATTTTTTTGAACATTTAGTAGTTTTAAACAAAAATGAAGTCCTTGTATGAGGACGTGGGGTCTCAGGAGGTTAAGATACACTTGTATGCCTCCACGACAAATCATATTTCACTGTCTTTTCCTGCTTATTTTTAAGGTACTGGTTCATGAATGCTGCTTTTAGTCATTAAATACGGGAGTGTGACCAATTCTGGGAAAGCAACTAGTTTGACACAGTCAAAACAATCTGTTATGCTGGTCTCTGGGAACTTAATCTAATTTGGTTTATTGCTAAAATATCCCACAAAAACACTACCCAGACTGGACAGACTCACTGTAAGGTCTTCAAACTGACGGTTTCTGACAATGCTGAAAAAAGACAACTGATGGGGCTTTGGGCTCCTGGCAGGAGAGGTGGGTTCAGAACTAGATGTGCAACGGTGGATGTGTTGGAGATTGGTGAACGTAAGGGATGAAGGCCAGATTGGAGACAGGAGTCAGCCAGAAGCAGGCAAAAATCAGGAGACAAAAACCAGCCAGAATTTGCCAGAAAACTGGAGATAAAATGCACCTAGAATTGGCCAGACAACAGAAGAAAGGAAGCACCCAGAATTAGCCAGAAAACAAGAGACAGGAACCACCCAGAATTTACCACAAAACAGGAGTCAGGAAGCACCCAAAATTGGCCAGAGAACAGGAGACAGGAACCAGCCAGGGATGAGACTCAGATGAACCAGGGATTAAAAATGAGTTAAAACAGGAAACTGAAACTCATAATCGGATGAATTAAAAGTAGGTTTTCACGAGAAACATGGTGCAGCCAACAGAGGTGGAGATTTCAGGTGCAGTTCAGTACAAATGAACTGAAATCTTAAATCTCCACCTCTGGTAGCCAACCCCTTCTTAATAAAAGCCTAAAGCACAGGGAATGTCGACAGCTCAGAGTTTGTGGCCAACAGGGGGCCTCCTGCAGGTATGTAATTTGACTGGTGTTAAACACTGCCTCTGCCTGGACCCAGTGCATCCCTGTTGGAGCACAGTCAAGAGGACCACCATCGTCTCCAAAGAGGGCATGGAAATTTGGCTGAGGGTATAGCAGAAACTCAGTCAAAATTGCAGCTGGAATGTTCCACCAGATACTGAGCAAAGAGGTACAAATACTAGTCATATGTTGCCATGTCAGATTCCCACTTTTTCCTATGCACAAAACATTTCTTGAAATCACCAGTTTGATAATATAGATTTTATGAAAATATTTGAGTTTAAGAAGCTGCATATGTGGCAGTTTTAGAAGACCGTATAGCTTGGCTAGAATACAAGTGCTTTATAGAAACTTGTCAGGGTCCTGTTATTTACCAGCATGCAGTCACTAGCTCTCTTCTGGGGTGCAATTTCGATGACATTGTGTTATACACTAGCTGGCTGTCAGAGAAAGCAGAAGAAAAATGTGCTCTGACTGTCCCACTGACAGCCAGAGCGGAGGGTCCCGAGGCAGGGGAAAAATTCTTGGTCTGATACCAGAGGAACACTTAATTATGTTTTAACTGTTTTGTTTAAAATGTGCAGCAGGGGGCACAAAACTGTTTATTTCCCCTTTATTGCATTTTTTAAGCACTGGGAAACTTGCCAGACCTAAGTCAGAGCAACACATTTGGAGTGCTGGCATTCGGCATACAGCCTTTGGTGTGAATCAACACCATAAACGGTCCATTTTGACCTCCGTCCTTAATTTTACTACAGAGGATTTAATATTCCCTTTCGGTGAGCAGGTGGACCACACCAGTAGCTTTTCACACAAACGGTTCCTTCCTGATTCCCTGGCAATACATCATTCTCCAGGAAAAGTCCAGATTATACACCATCAGTTCATCGACAATACAAACACAGTCAGATTAACAATAATCAGGTCTGAATCTGGATGGCTTAAGCATGCTTTTTTATTAATAATCCACCATACTATACAGGTGGCACAGACATACCTAGGCTTTTATAAGTATATGCTTCATCAGAGATTAAAAAAAAATGCAAAACCAACCCACCTTGGTCCTAATTATTCTTAACAGATCCATTCTCCACCTTTGAAGCCACAAACACACACTTTTCATACCACACATTATTTTCAGTCTATCTCAACTCTGCTTCTCCACACTATCTCTGAGATCCTTTTTTGAGCTTCAAGTCCACCAACAAGGAAGCAAGAGCTCAATTTCACCTCAAAAACCCAGATTTGCTGACATCCAAAGTCTCCTTACGTGGAGTACATGCCCCATACCTCTTGGTTACATGGCATGTCCTCTTTCCTACATTGTGTTGTTGTGTTGTTGTCTACCAGGTCCTGACTCTGCCCCCAGACCACACTTACTCACCCAGAACCCCACAACATGCCTTGCCATTGACCTTTCAAAATGCTTGCATCATCAGCCATCCTGTTCTTTTACTACTTGCTACCCCATTCTACTTAAAACCCTTGAAACAGCCATATCTTTGTGTATAAACCATTACAATTTGACATTCCTTTGACTATCACTTGTCTTAAAGACCAGAAATAAAAATAATTTTTCAACCTTAGTCTTTCAATGGTGGAATAAATATCTCCTGTTCTACTGCTACACTTTATAGCATTAACCTTCAGGCATGTATTCTGCATTCTGATAAATAGCTGTTTGTTCATGTATATAGTCGTTAGTCTACTGAATGACCCTACATCATATGATCTTGCACTTTAAAGCAGAAGCCTTATTCCTGAATCATCTAATTGTGTTCATGGTCTGTTTTATTGTATGTGCAAACTGTACTTGTGTTGGAAAAATAATACAGTGTGACTGCTCCATTGATGCTAGAGTTAAAGGGAACACAAGACCAAACCACTGTTGGCAAATACTTTAAATATTTGCAGGGTTCAATGACTTGGTGTATCTCAGCAGAAGGCAGGATGTCAACATAGTCACATGTCTGTTATGGTTTAACATAAAGCCTTATGGTATAAGTTGCAATTTGTTACTACATCATGAATTGCATGAATGCTTTTATTAAAACAATAATTTCAATTGACAAAGTAATAAAGCAAATGTTATGGGAGGCTAACAATGTGATAGGGAGTGGGTGGGGTAGTGTGTGGTTCTGTGAGTTAAGCACGTGCCTGTCAGTGGAAGGTTGTTGGATCAAATATAGTGGTCAGAAGAGTGACCACTATAGGCCCTTGAGCAAAGCTCTTTACCCCAATTGTTCCAGGGACTGAGTGACTCTGCTCTCTCAATTGTAGGTTACTTTGAATAAAAGCATCTGCTAAATAAGGAAATGTATGCATGACAGCAGAATATAAGTGCAATAGTTTATAATATCCGTAGGCAGGGCTTGATAGGACATCCTGGGGTCGGCATTTCACTTCTTTAACCAATCACAGTTTTCATTGTGCGCCATCACCACATTGGACTGATTCCATCTCATCTTCAAGCTGGGGGGGGGGGTAAGCATCAGTGTCTGTGATTGGAAGGTTGCTGGTTCAAGCATTGTTGTTATAATTATTATTGTTATTATTATTATTATTATTATCCATCCATCTCCCATCCATCCATCCACTTCCTGTTCAGGGTCTCAGGGGGCCCCCGAGCCTATTCCGGAGGCTATGGCTACACAAGGCAGGGAACAACCCAGGATGGGGTTATTATTATTATCGTCATCATAATACAAATATGCACCCTTACATTGCTCCTTTGCATGTTCTTATGCTGTGTATCTATGGAATATCCCTTAATAAAAGGCATAGACAGTAAAATGAGTACTTTGTGTACTTCACAGAAAACACTGGTTTTAATTAATGTGGTGATGTCGTACAATGAAGACAGTGATTGGTCAAAGGTGTGAAACACAAGCCCCTCCCTTGCTGATCCACGGCACGGCAAACTCCTCATATGCACGTCCCGACATATGCGACAAACGTGGCCGGTTGGGTAGAGCGGGAACATGTGAAAGAGAGTGGTGACCTACAAAGGGGGGTTGGTAAGGGGCACCTTCCCTGATTCCCCAGGGGCCGATTGTCTTTTGATGTGCCGCAGAACGGCCTGCAGTTGCTGTGCTGAAGGCTGATTTTACCAAAGGCGGGGTGAAACGGCCGTGCACGAACCCGAAGCCGATGTCTTCCTTTCAAGCAGGACCAATGAGGACAATGTGCTTTAGTCACTCAAGCAAAAAAGAGACGGGTGTCTTCCGAAGGCCTTTGTCCTTCAAAGCAATTACATTTATATGACTATGATATTGATGCAGAGTAACACGTTGAATGCTTTCATGAATAGTTTAGTTGCACCAGCTCTAAGATTTTGGTTCTAGTTTTGATATTTAATTTACAGTAGCTTTGGGCTATGTGACAGTTTGTTTGACTTCCCCCGTCATTAACCATACGGTCCCCACGGGAATAATCCAGGGCTGCATGGCTTGTAATTGTAAACTGAGATTTAAATCAGCCATAAACAGCTTTACTACAGCTTTACTTAGTAATAATAAGAGTGGGGAGGCAATGCGAACTTCCAGACTCTATAGAAAAGGGAACAGTTTGATTTTTTCACATCCCTACTGATATCCCATGATG